ACACACACACACACACACACACACACACACACACACACACACACACAGACACACACACACACACAGACTACATGGACTGAAAAGAAAATTGGGTGTTGTCTTCTGAAGACGCAAGGAAGGGATGCCAGATATGCAAAAATCAACAGATCCCACGACCCCCTGTCCAAGAGTATGTTGTTTATGTAAGATGGTGATAAGCAGGATGAGAAGCAATGAGATAGAGCTGAGAGAACGCAAAGACCACTGGGAATAAAAACCCCAAGGCCACCTGAGAGACGAATCTGTGCAGACATTCCTTCCCTCTGCTTCTGAAATAATCTCAAACCTCTTGGAGGAGAAGCTTGTCTGAAACCCTCGCCCTGTATGGAAAAACAACAGACCTTCAGTGGTTCTCCCCTTAATGTGTGGGCCCCAGTGCTTGTTCATGTAAAACCTTTGTGGGTCCAGGTACGCCCTGGGCAGAGGAAGCAGGATGCCTGAGAGTCACAGTTTCCGTCTGCATAAGTCCCTGACTTGGCGAGCACTTGAACACATCCATCCAAGTCCCAGCACGAGGCTCCACTCCCTGATAGAACCAACAACTGCATGTTAAAGCAAAAGAGCGTTGCTCTGAATTTCACCTGAGTAAACTCTCCCACTCTGTTTTTAGGGAGGAAAATTTGACATTATCCAGCTGGTTGTGTACATCGGCTCAACCCTCTCCTACTTCGGTTTGGTAAGAGATTCTCTTTTCTGCGCTTTAAGAAAATGCTTTGGAGAAGGAAGTGACTAACATGGCGCCTGTCTGGGTTTTCCCCAGGCCACTGTGTTCATTGACTTTCTCATCAACACTTACTCCAGTAACTGCTGTCGCTCCCATATCTATCCCCGGTGCAAGTGCTGTCGGCCCTGCATGGTTAATGAATACTACTACAGGAAGAAGTGCGAGTCCATCGTGGAGCCAAAGCCGGTGAGGCCGCTGTGTTCATAGGACACCAGGACACGGAGAGATTCCATGAGATCACTGAGAAATGAACAAAGTTAGGCCCAAATCACAGGCTTAATCCTGCAGTGGGTACATCTCCGGGCTCTCCCCCATCAACTGTATCTCCGATAAATTATTTGGTCTTGGAGGAGAATAGAAACAAACATGGAGGGGCAAGATAGAGGGAAGGCAAATTTTTATGTCCAGGACTTGTCAGTTTTGTCATATATTTATTCGTTTATTTATTTTTATTTACTTTCAGACCGAGTCTTGCTCTGTCACCCAGGCTGGAGTGTAGTGTCTCGATCTCGGCTCACCGCAGCCTCTGCCTCCCAGGTTTAAGTGATTCTCCTTGCCTCAACCTCCCAAGTAACTGGGACCACAGGCGCACACCACCACACCCATCTAATTTTTGCATTTTTAGTAGAGACGGGGCTTCACTATGTTGGCCAGGCTGGTCTCGAACTCCTGACTTCAAATGATCCACCCACTCAGCCTCCCACAGTGCTGGGGTGACAAATGTGAGCCACTGTGCCTGGCTTGTTTTGTCATTTATTAAATTGGTATAGCCAAAACAAAAAAAAAGAAAAGAAGAGGAATGACTTTGGAGAACCATTTGGCAGTGACTAACAACGTTTAAACGGGACATACTTTACAGCCTGGCATTTCCAGTTCTCCAAACCTGCCCTAGAGAAACACTCACATGAGTACCCAAGCAGTACCCATATACAAAATGTTCAGTTGTTTATTACATTATTAATAATGTATGATTATTAACAGTGAAGAAATAGCATCTGACCAAATATCCAATAGGTAAATGGTGAAAGAAACTATTGTAAATCCATAGAAAGGAATACCAGGCACCAGTTTAAAAAAATGAGGTAGATAATAATAATGGCAGACATAGGCCAGGCGCAGTGGCTCACGCCTGTAATCCCAGCACTTTGGGAGGCTGAGGCGGGTGGATCACCTGAGGTCAGGAGTTCGAGACCAGCCTGACCAATACAGTGAAACCTCATCTTTAAAAAAAAAAAAAGAATAAAAAATAAAATAATAATAATAATAATAATGGCAGACATTTACACAGCACTTCTAAATGCTTTATATATTAACTCACTGAATCTTCACAACCACTTGATGTAAACAGATGCTAGTATTATCTCTTTCTATTGATGAGGAAACTGAGCCACAGGAAGGTTAAATAATTGGCCCAAGGCCAGGCACGGTGGCTCATACCTGTAATCCCAGCACTTTGGGAGGCTGAGGCAGGCAGATCACTTGAGGGCAAGAGTTTTGAGACCAGCCTGGCCAACATGGTGAACCCCGTCCCTACTAAAAATACAAAAATTAGCCAGGCGTGGTGGTATACACCTGTAATCCCAGTGATTTGGGAGACTAAGGGAGGAGAATTGCTTGAACCTGGTAGGTTGAGGTTGCAGTGAGCTGAGATCATGCCATTAGACTCCAGCCTGGGTGACAGAGGGAAACTCTATCTCAAAAAAAAAAAATACATACATATATATATATACATACATATACATATATACATATGTGAATATATATGACTTGAGGAGAGCAGATCTCCAAGATCTTTTGTTAAAAGGAAAAAAAGCAAACCATCAAACAATATATATGATATACAGGTTTAAAAAACACCACTAGACACAGAAGTTAATCTATATATTTTCTACATGTATATGCTATATATACACAAGTGTACACACACATACCTATACATATGTGTGGGTGTATATATGTACACGAGATTGTAGCAGCAGTTGCTTCTGGAAAGGAGCTTAGGGTGGGGGAGTAGTCACAGGGATTTTAGCATCATCTGTATTGTTTTGGTTTGATTAATCTGGACCTTATTAAGCAGGTCCTCTGCATTCAACTCCATGATTTCCCCCAAAGAGAAATCTCTGGTGCCTAAAGACAAAGACAATTTCTTTGTCTTTCCCTCATCTAAGAACATGATTGTCCTGTTCCAGCAGCTGAATGCACCATTCACTGTCCATTGTACATGCATTTGCAATTTGAAATAAAAGTTAATCTCTGCAGCTAAAACTAATCACCACTTCATGGCCCAAGATGAGATGAAATTTAACAAACATATCAATAATTAAAGTTGCAGTCGTACAACTTTCTGGAGATACTGAATCTAGAGTCACTGAAATTGAGAGAATATACCAAAGGAATTTTACGCAGCAATTGGGGGATCCAATGTAAAAACATTAAGTAGTAAGCTGTGGCTGTGTTGAATCTACAAGATGTGTGGGGTAGCAGGGCTTGATGGCTCACACCTGTAATCCCAGCACTTTGGGAGGCCAAGGCAGGAGCGTAGCAGGCACCTGTAATCCCAGCTACTCAGGAAGCTGAGGCAGGGGAATCACTTGAACCTGGGAGGCAGAGGCTGCAGTGAGCTGAGATCACACCACTGCACTCTAGTCTGGAGACAGGGCAAGACTCCGTTCCCCAACCCACACCCCCCCAAAAAAAAGATGCATGGCGTTCCATTTCTGATTTACCTTTAGACTCAGAAATCATTAATTCTTGGTTAATGAGAGTTTGGGGCTGGCTTGTTTAATAGTCTATCATTTGGCAAAGGGAATAACAATTGCCTTTAGATAGGCAATTCTTGATAATTCTGTACAAAAGCGGGTAAACTTTTAAATCATCTTTTTATAGACATTAAAGTATGTGTCCTTTGTGGATGAATCCCACATTAGGATGGTGAACCAGCAGCTCCTAGGGAGAAGACTGCAAGATGTCAAGGGCCAAGAAGTCCCAGTAAGTTAAATCATTTTTGCTCTCTTTTTTTTTTTTAAAGAAAATTTACTATTAAATATAAACACATCTAGAAACTTGTACAAATCAAAACTAATGGATTTTAACAAAGTAAACATACTCATGGAACCAGCACTCAGATTAAACAATTGAAAATTACTTATGCCCCCTTCCGATCACTACTCTCTCTCTTTTTTTAATTTTTAAAATTTGGCCAGGCACGGTGGCTCACATCTGTAATCCCCGAACTTTGGGAGGCCAAGGCAGCCAGATCACTTGAGGTCAGGAGTTCAAGACCAATCTGGCCAATATGGTGAAACCCCGTCTCTACTAAAAATACAAAAATCAGCTGGGCGTGATGGCATACATGTAATCCCAGCTACTCGGGAGGCCAAGGCAGGAGAATTGCTTGAACCTGAGAGATAGAGGTTGCCGTGAGCCAAGATTGTGCCACTGCATTCCAGCCTGAGCAACAGAGCAAGAATCTGTCTCAAAAAAAAAAAAAAAAAAGTATTTTTTAATTACAGACAAGGTCTCACTATGTTGCCCAGGCTGGTCTCAAGCAATCCTCCCACCTCAGCTGTACCAAGCCCAGCCAACCGCCCTCTCTTAAAAGTAATCATTATCCTATATCTAAGGATTAATTTTATTTCTGCGGGAATTTTCTTGACATTGAATCATGTAGTGTGTAAGCAGCATATACTCAGTTGAGTGTCTGGCTTCCTTTACTCAACATTATTTTTGTGAGAGTTGTTCATGACATTGTGCACAATTCATTCTCATTGTGTAGTTCCATGTTATCAACATCCAACTTATTCAGCCATCCTACTGTTGATGGACATTTGGGTAGTGTCCAGCTGGGGGCTAATGCTAATAATGCTGCTATGGTCAACATACGGCACTCTAGTAGGCGGGCAATTACCTAAGAGTGGAACTGCCGAGTCATAAGGCAGACATATGTTTAGTTTTAGGAGATACTAACAAACAGTGCTGCAAAATGGTTGCTCTCATTAGCGCTCTCCCCAGAGGTTCCGGCTGCTGTGCATCTTCAATTTCCTAAGGCTGAATTACCACAAACTAAATGGCTCAAAACAGCAGAAGCATATTCTGTCACAGTTCTGGAGCCTAGAAGTCTGAAATTAAGGTGTTGGTAGGGCCCCTCTCTATCTGAAGGCTCTAGGGAGGAATCCTTCCTTGCCTCTTCCTGACATCTAGTGTTTATGACACTGACTAGGACCTCCAGTACAATACTGAACAGAAGTGATAATAGCAGCCATCTCTGCCTCATTCCCTATCTTAGGGAGAAAGGTTTTGTGTATTTTTTTATTGGTTTTTTGGGCTGGAGTTTTGCTCTTGTTGGTGCATCTTGGCTCACCGCAACCTCTCCACCTCTGGGGTTCAAGCAATTCTCCTGCCTCAGCCTCCCAAGTAGTTGGGATTATAGGCATGCACCACCATGCCCTGCTAATTTTGTACTTTTAGTAAAGATGGGATTTTTTCCACGTTTGTCAGGCTGGTCTCAAATCCTGACCTCGGGTGATCTGCCCACCTCGGCCTCCCAAAGTGCTGGGATTACAGGTGTGAGCCACTGCACCTAGCCTGCAGTGAGTTTTTAAGAATGCACTATCAGATAAGAAAATTGCCTTCTGTTTCTAGTTTGCTAAGCACCATTAATGGATACTGATTTCTTAAATAATGGCTTTTTTTTTTTTCTTCTGGCTGGGTGCAGAGGCTTATGCCTGTAATCCCAACACTTTGGGATGCCAAGGCGGGTGGATCACCTAAGGTCAGGAGTTCAAGAACAGCCTGGCCAACATGGTGAAACCCTGTCTCTATTAAAAATACAAAAATTAGCCAGGCATGGTGGTGCACGCCTGTAACCCCAGCTACTCAGGATGCTGAGGTGGGAGAATTGCTTGAACCTGGGAGGCGGAGGCTGCAGTGAGCTGAGATCATACCACTGCACTCTAGCCTAGGCAACAGAACAAGACTCCATCTTAAAAACAAAAAGTTTTTTTGGCTCCTTTTGAAATAGCAATGAGTTTTCTTTCTTTCTTTCTTTTTTTTCTGTTATGTGTTGAATTGTACTGATTGGTTTTCAAATATTAAGCCAACCTTGCATTCCTGAAGTAAACTCAATTTGAATGTGTTGTACTATTCTTTGTATTTATTACTGAATTCCATTCATTAATATTTAAGATTTTTATATCTCTTCTTGAGAAACACTGGGCAAAGTTTTTCCATTCTTGTAATGTTTTTGTTGGATTTGGGTATGAAGTGAACTACAGTCATGCATCACTTAATGATGGGGATATGTTCTGAAAAGTGATCCAGGCTGAGGTGGGTGGATGACTTGAGGTCAGGAGTTTGAGACCAGCCTGGCCAACATGGTGAAACACTGTCTGTACTAAAAATACAAAAATTAGCCAGGTGTGGTGGCACATACCTGTAATCTCAGCTACTTGGGAGGCTGAGGCAGGAGGATCATCTGAACCTGGGAGGCAGAAGTTGCAGTGAGCCGAGTTGAGCTAGACCCCACCTCAAAAGAAAAGAAACCAATTCACAAATACACACATTACCCTAGGGTCCAGATCATCAATATCACCATATTTTGCCTCTATGTCTTGTCCCACTGGAAGGTCTTCAGGGACAATAACACACATGGTGCCATCATCTCCTATGATAGCAATGCCTTCTTCTGGGTATCGCCTGAAGAACATACCTGAGGCTGTTTTAAAGTTAACTGTTTTTAAATAAATAGAAGCAATACATTCTAAAGTAATAAAAAAGTATAGTATAGTAAATACACAAACCAGTAACAAAGCTGTTTATTATCATACATTATGTACCGTACATAATTATATTTTATACGACTGGTAGTGAGGTAGGTCTGTTTACGTCAGCATCACCACGAACATGATACTGCATTGCACTACGATGTGATGACATACATGATGTCACCGGGGATAGGAATGTTTCAGCTCCAGTGTAATCTTATGGGACCACTCTCATATATGTGGTCCATCACTGACCAAAATGTCACTATGTGGCACACAACTGTGTTTAGTGTGTATGTGTGTGTGTATGTGCACTCATGTGCATATGGTAAAATATATGTAATGAAATTTACAATTTTAACCATTTTACAGTGTACAAGTCAGTGACATTTAGCTCGTTCAAAACACTGTGCAGCCATCACCACTCTCTAGTTCCAGAGCTCTTTCATCTCCCCAAAAGGAAACCTGTGTCCGCTAAGCAGCCTCTCCCCATCCTGACTTCCCCCAGCCCCTGGCGACCACGAATCTACTCTCAGTCTCTCTGGATTTGCCTATTCTGAACACTTTCTATGAATGGACTCACACACTGTATGGCCTTTTGTGCCTGGCTTCTTTCATGCCGCACTGTATTTTCTAGATTCATCAGTGTTGTAGCAGGTGTCAGCACTTCATTCATTTTTATGGCTAAATAATATTCCATCGCGTGGACATAATGTTTTGTTTCTCCATTCATCAGTTGATGGACACTTGGGTTGTCTCTGCCCTTTGGCTGTGGTGAAAAAAGCTGCTATGAGCATTCATGTACAAGAACCATTTAGTTTTAGTGTTCTTGACTCAGGCCTTCCTCATCCAGTAAATGAAAGGGTATGTCACAAAGAATAGACGTGGCAACCACAGCAACTTCCCTTAGATAATAACAAATGGATTTGGCCGGGCACACTGGCTCACACCTGTAATCCCAACACTTTGGGAGGCTAAGGTGGGCAGATCACCTGAGGATGGGAGTTCAAGACCAGCCTGACCAACACGGTGAAACCCCCATCTCTACTAAAAATACAAAATTAGCCAGGTGTGGTGGCACACGCCTGTAATCCCAGCTACTCAGGAGGCTGAAGCAGGAGAATCACTTGAATCCAGGAGATGGAGGGTGCAGTGAGACGAGATCACGCCATTGCACTCTAGCCTGGGCAACAAGAATGAAACAGCGTCTCAAAAATAAAATAAAAGTGGATTTGCCAGAAGGGAGAGCATGGTGGGAAAGAGAGAGTGGTGCTAAGTCAACAAGTATTTCCTGTCTGTCATGCGCTGGGCCCCGGCCCAGGCATCACGGATATGGCAGTAAAAAAGCAGACAGCGTCCCTGCTTCCGTATGGAAGAAGGATCATCACCAAGTAAACACATAAATTAATAAGACAATTTCCAGTAGTGCTGAGTCCTGTGAAGAATGTGGAATACCATGGTGTGATAAGAGAATCACATAGGAGAAAAGCTGCTAGATAGGGTGGTCAGGCCAAGAGGCGACATGTCAACAGAAGCCAGGCTTTTCTGAATTTCATTTTCCAAAATCTATAAAATAGGCCAGGTGCAATGGCTCACGCCTGTAAACGCAACACTTTGGGAGGGTGAGAGAGCCGGATCACCTGAGGTCAGGAGTTCCAGATCAACCTGGCCAACACGGTGAAATCTTTTCTACTAAAAATATGAAAGAATTAGCTGGGCATGGTGACATGCACTTGTAGTTCCAGCTACTTAGGAGACTAAGGCATGAAAATTGCTTGAACGTGGGAGGTGGAGATTGCAGTGAGCCGAGATCACACCACTGCACTCCAGCCTGGGAAACAGAGTGACACCCTCTCAAAAAAAAAAAATCTGTAAAATAGAGACAAGGATACATATCTCACAAACATCTTCAAAGGCTTGAATGAGGTAATGCTTACAGAACACATGCAGGGTCCTGACAGCTATACTTAATAAATGACAGCTGCTACAACTTATGTGATATTAAATGTAACTTTCCAAGTTAATAAAGTTAAAGAACCTAGAACCTGAAGGGTTGTCTTTGCTAATAAGTTTGGGAATTTACCTTTTCAGAGACCTCCAGTGGACTTTACAGACTTGTCCAAGCTGCCCCTGGCCCTCCATGACCCACCCCCTACTCCTGGACAACCAGAGGAGATGCAGCTGCTTAGAGAGGAGGCGACTCCTAGACCCAGGGACAGCCCAGTCTGGTGCCAGTGTGGAAGCTGCCTCCCATCCCAACTTCCAGAGAGCCACAGGTGCCTGGAGGAGCTATGCTGCCGGAAAAAGCCGGGGGCCTGCATCACCACCTCAGAGCTGTTCAGGAAGCTGGTCCTGTCCAGGCACATCCTGCAGTTCCTCCTGCTCTACCAGGACCCCTTGCTGGCGCTGGATGTGGACTCCACCAACAGCCAGCTGCGGCACTGTGCCTACAGGTGCTACGCCACTTGGCGCTTCGGCTCCCAGGACATGGCTGACTTTGCCATCCTGCCCAGCTGCTGCCGCTGGAGGATCCGGAGAGAGTTTCCCAAGAGTCAAGGGCAGTACAGTGGCTTCAAAAGTCCTTACTGAAGCCAGATGCGTGGCTCATGTGTGTAATCCCAGCACTTTGGGAGGCCAAGGCAGGCAGATCACCTGAGGTCAGGAGTTGGAGACCAGCCTGGTTAACAAGGCAAAATCCCATCTGTACTAAAAATACAAAAATTAGCCACGGATAGTGGCACGTACCTGTAATCTCAGCTACTTGGGAGGCGGAGGCACGAGAATCACTTGAACCTTGGAGGCGGAGATTTCAGTGAGCCAAGATTACGCCACTGCACTCCAGCCTGGGAGATACAGCAAACCCTGTCTCAAAAAATAAAACTAAAGTCCTTACTGACAGCAGGGGGCTGCAGTAGCCATATTAACATGACCTTTGCTAGCATCTTGAACATCCCCTGCAAAGCTCTGTGGCCACATTTTCACCCAAAGGGAAATGTGCTTTCATCTTCTGTAGCACTCTGTGTCTGAGAGCAAAGTAACCTGGTGAAACCAACCAGAATCCCTCTGCCTGGACACAGAGCAGAGAGATTCAGATGTAAGTCTCAACTCTGTCCCTAGGAAGCTGTGTGTGGCCCTAGTCCTCTCACCTCTGCCTCCGTTTCCCCATTGCCCAACTACTATCTCAGAGATACTGTGAGGATAAATTAAGTGTACATGAACTGTCTCGTTGATGTGTAAAGAGCTATGTGAATGCAAAACATTTCATTATGAGGTCAGACTAGGATAATGTCCAACTAAAAACAAACCTTTTTGGTTATGGTTGGAGAATGTGGAGGACTAAAGGTGGCCGCAAATACTTTGACACTCAAATCCCCCAGGACCTAAGGGTCTTATCTCCTCCCCTTGAGTATGGGTGGCTCTGATTGTTTTATCCAAAAGTGAAAGTGATGTTGTGCTGGTTTCAGATCTTGGTCTTAAGAGACTGACAGCTGCTACTTCCTGTCCCTTGGAACTCTTGCTACCGGGGATGCCAGACTCCATTTAAAAGTCTGTCTATCCTGGTCGGGTGTGGTGGCTCAAGCCTGTAATCCCAGCACTTTGGGAGGCTGAGGAGGGCCGATCACTTAAGGACAGGAGTCCAAGACCCAACTCTCCAACATGGTGAAACCACAGCTCTACTGAAAATACAAAAATTAGCTGGACATGGTGGTAGGCACCTGTAGCCCTAGCTATCAAGAGGCTGCAACAGGAGAAATGCTTGAACCTGGGAGGTGGAGGCTCCACGGAGCTGAGATCATGCCACTGAACTCCAGGCTGGGTGACAGAGCGAGACTCCATCTCAAAAAAAAAAAAAAAAATGTCTGCCAATCCTGAGACCGCCCTGCTATGAGGAAGCCCAAGCAGCCATGTGGAAAGTGCCTGACCAGCCCCAGCTTTCAGGCCATCCAAGCTTGGTCACCAAACATGAGAGAGAAGAAGTCTTCAGGTGATTCTGGACCCTGCTAACATATGACTGACACTGCATGATACATCCCAAGTAAGAACTTCTCCATAAATCTAGAAAATCAAAATGCTATCTTAATTCACTAAGTTTTGGGCCTGTTTGTTCCACAGCAACAGATAACTGGAAGAGAGCAAGCCTGACGAATGGGCACACAGACTCAGCCCACACCTTCCCTGGTTCTAATGTTCTTAGGGAGCCCAGGCCAACCCTGGAACCCTCAGGAACTTCAGTTTCCACTGGACAGTTCGAGAAGGGTTATAGCCCAAATCAGTTAACTCACCCGACCAGCCCTGGAATCCATCAAATCTAACTCTGAGCTACCCAAGGCAGTCCAATCCTCATCACAATTCTATGACTGAAGACCAGGCACTGTGGCTCACACCTGTAACCTCAGGACTTTGGAAGTCCGAGGCAGGTGGATCATGAGGTCAAGAGTTCAAGACCAGCCTGGCCAACATGGTGAAACCCCATCTCTATGAAGAATACAAAAATTAGCTGGGCGTGGTGGTGGGTGCCTATAATCCCAGCTACTCTGGAGGCTGAGGCAGGAGAATCGCTTGAACCCGGGAGGTAGAGGTTGCAGTGAGCTGAGATCATGCCACTGCACTCTAGCCCGGATGACAGAGCAAGACTCTATCTCAAAAAAAAAAAAAACAACAACAAAACAAAACAATGCTATGACTGAAAGTGACTAAAAAGCTGCCTTGAGGCCGTTAACAGCCTGTGCTTTGCAGTCATTCAGAATTGACGCAGTCTGGACGCCAGCTACTTCAAAAACAACCCGCAACCACACCTTTACCATTTCCATCATCAACTGCTAAGAATAGGAAAATGCATAGTGACAGGTTTTAGGATCCTGCTTTAGGATTTCCTTTTCCTGGTTTTGTCATCAGAGTTGGCTATTTAACTGTTTCTAAACAAAAACCATTTAGTCGAACAGTTTGGAGACCACCGTTAAATATTGTGACTGATAAAGGATCTGTGAATTTTTTATACATATTCCAAGAGTTACCATTTTGATCCCTTTTAAAAACCAGCAGCTTTCTACACTACTCATGTAGAACAGCATGAATACAAATGTTTTTCAATACAGGGTTTTATCTGGCTTTAAACTCAGGAACCAAGTTAATTATGCCAGATTGAACTTTGATTTTTCACTACCTTTTCAAAGATATTTTTTAAAGTGCATTATTATATATAATTTCTTTGGAGTTGACACTTCTTTACTCCAGGAATTCTATGTCACTGTGACAGGTTTCCATTCTGATGGCCTCTGGGCCTTTGTACCTTCGTGTTTGGTGCCTTATTCCTAGTATATTTCTATCACCTTAATGAGGCCACAGATGGAATTAAAATGTGAAATTACAAATCATCACTGGATCCATCTGCTTTTCTCACCTTCCCCACTGACGCTCTGGGCGAGACAGTGACATGTCACTCCAACTGTGTAACATGTCACACACGTCCCACAATAACAGGTGTCATAGTTGTATTCTTATTTTTAGTTTACTGTAGAAAATAATGTCATCTCCAAAGGTGATGGGAGTCACATTTTGTAGGATGTGTTTTCTTATTCTTCTGCTATGGTAACTGCCAGTATTCATGGCTTCGTCTCTGTGAAAAGAAGGGATCTTCGTCTCAGAAAAGAAGGGATCTGCTTTCTCTTGGCTGATTTCACATAATATCGGTAATGAACTTTCATTCCTCATTCGAATGGGAAATTACTTTTTAAACCCTTCCTGATTTTATCCTGGTAATGTAAGTGTCCTTAATGTGACTGTTTTGATAATAAAAAAAAATGATGTATAATTTATTTAAATCTTCTCTTTATTTCCTTTCTTTTCAGAAGGTCCCCAAATCACAGTTAACTCATTCATTGACACATTCGTTCAACAACTATTCATTGAGACACTCTCTAGAGATCAAGGATAAATAAGGTTGCTGGTCTCGTGAAAATATGAAGAGATGAAAAATAATTCCAGCAAATGGAATCTGGCAACTGGTGCTGAGTGTCATGGTGAAGAGGCAAATGATGCCATGAGAGCTCATAGCAGGGGAATTTAGCCTACTGGGGCGATCAGCCTACCTGAGGAAGGAATGTTTTAGCTAAAATTTAAAGGATAAGCACTACTTAAATAGTGAATGGGGAAGGCAGAAGCATTCTAGGCAGAGAGATCAGTATGTGCAAAGGTCCTGGGGCAGGAAAAGCATAGCAGGTTTACAGAACTTAGAGACCTGTATGTGCCATAAACAGGACAGGGAAGTGAGGCATGAGTCACGGTTGGAAGCAGGCAGGGGCTGGCTTCCTGGAATCTTGTGGGTCACGGTAGAGTTTGTCTTTATCCTAAGACCTAAGCCATGTAAAGGTTCTAAACAGGAGCCTGGTGAGATCATACTTAATTTTGATTTTTATTTATTTATTTATTTGTTTGTTTGTTTTGAGATAGAGTCGTGCTCTGTTGCCCAGGCTGGAGTGCAGTGGCTTGATCTTGGCTCACTGCAACCTCCGCCTCATGGGTTCAAGTGATTCTCCTGCGTCAGCCTCCCGAGTATCTGGGATTACAGGCATGCACCACCACACCCGGCTAATTTGTGTACTTTTAGTAGAGAATGTTACCAGGATTGTCTCAAACTCCTGACCTCAAGTGATCTGCCAAAGTGTTGGGATTACAGGTGTAAGCCACTGCTCCCAGCTGCCATATTAATTTGGAAACGCTCACTGCGATCGCTGTGTGGAAAATGAGCTAGGAGCGGTGGTGGATATGGTCTTTGTTTTTGTTTCAGTCTTTCCCTACTCCATGAAACATTTGTCCCACATATGCGGCCAAACAGAATGTTTCTCTTTTCTTCCCTCCTCTTCCTCTTGGGAAGTCACCAAAAAAAGGGGGGAAAATCAGCAGCAAGAGAAAAGGAGGAAAAGCTTTGGTGTGCCTTGAATTTTGGAATAGCCCCTGCCCCAAGTTGGCAGGGATGAGACTGCTTGTTGAGCTTCAGATCACAGGAAGGAGTGCAGGAAATCAGGAGACGAGGGGCAGTCAGCAGGGCCCACTGGGTATCCACCCTGCGGTGTAAGGCCTAAAATCAAGCTCTCGTATGAGGTGCTGCCTTGACATCAGGTGAAATCAGGAGTGCCTAGAATAGCCTAACCCCAAGTTTCTCTCCCAGTCCTCCCTTGGCCAAGGGTGCCCAGTGAAACAACCTTCCTTATCGAACAGACCTGATGCAGTTCCTGCTAACCCATGGAATTGTCCAAATGAGCCAATCACATCCGTCAGGGAAACCAGGTCCTCCTCACCCTCTTGTTGCTACAGAGCATGCTCCCACTGGCCCTAGTTGTTCACTCTGTTTCTGTGTGGCCCTTCACTCTGTTTCTGTGTGGCCCTGAACGGCATGTGGGAGTCTTCCTCCCTGAGCTGTGAGTGTGTGTGACCAAAAATTGCTGCCAATCTCATCTGCCCAGTGTTGGGTGTCACGTGTTTAGCCATCCCCAGAACGCTGGGGTGGGAACTGGGAATCCCTCCCTCACCACTGAGGTAAAGGGGAGGTTATTAAAACATCCCTAATTCGGCCAGGGCAGTGGCTGACACCTGTAATCCCAGTACTTTGGGAGGCTGAGGCAGGTGGATCATCTGAGGTCAGGAGTTTGATACCAGCCTGGACAACATGGTAAAACCCTGTTTCTCCTAAAAATAGAAAAAATTAGCTGAGCATGGTGGCCAGCGCCTGTAATCCCAGCTACTTGGGAGGTTGAGGCAGGACAATCACTTGAACCTGGGAGGCAGAGTTTGCAGTGAGCCAAGATCGTACCACTGCACTCCAGCCTGGGCAACAAGAGTGAAACTCCATCTCAATAAATAAATAAATTAAATAAATATCTAATTCCAGGCCAACCAGCAGCCCTAAAAACTTAATCTTGGTCTGGCTTCTGCCCAAAGTCATGGGCACACAAAGCCCTGCCTATTAGAGGCAGTAAGGAACCATGACCACCGCCCCCGTTTATTCAAATTACCTACCTGAATGTACCAGGTGGGGTTTCACCCTCTGCTGTTTGTATGTTTCTCAACCCATATTCTAATCCCATGCAGTCATCATTCAGGAAGATCCCCTAATTCAACTTTTCTTTTTTGAAAAAATTAGAAATTCCCATCTTCTTTCACTTTAACTATGACCTTTCAGCTTCCTGTTTTTCATTCCTGAGGGCTATGAATCATAGTTCCAAAATAAATGATGATCTATGGAGAGGATTTTGCATTTCCAACATCCTTAGCTAACTTAACTGAATTATGATAGTCACATGATCCTGAGGCCTCAGGAATCGGAGGAGGAGGCTGATGCTGACTCACCATTTTAACCAAATAAGCGTCGCACCTAGCCTGGATAAGGGTCAACTCACGCTAACAGGGCTCTTATGCAGGCTTGTTCATTCTGGTAAGTCATGAATATTTATGTTTTATTTCCCCCAAAAAACAATAAGCCCCTCAGAGGCAAGGAACTCATCTTGGTTTTTGTCCCTTCCACACCTGTCTCATCCCAGTGGTGTGTGGGCACTGGAAACAGACCACCTGGGTTTAAATCCTGGCTTGGTCACTTATTGGCCAAGTGGCCTGATACAGTTTGGTTGTGTCCCCACCCAAATCTCATCTTGAATTGTACTCCTATAATTCCCATGTGTTGTGGGAGGGACCCAGTGGGAGACAATTGAATCATGTGGTGGTTTCCCTCATACTGTTCTTGTGGTAGTGAATAAGTCTCAAGAGATCTGAGAGTTTTACAAGGGGTTTCTCCTTTCATTTGGCTCTCATTCTCTTTTTGCCTACCACCATGTAAGATGTGGCTTTGCGGCTCCTTGCCTTTGCCAGGATTGTGAGGCCTCCCCAGCCCTGTATAACTATGAGTCATCTAAACCTCTTTCCTTTATAAATTGCCCATTCTTGGGTATGTCTTTATTAGCAGCCTGAGAACAGACTAATACATGGCTTCGGGCAGCTTTTCATGAGTCTAGCCATGGTAGCTATTCTTATGATTTGGTTGGTGCCCAAGCATCGCTCTTGAGCTCCAGGCCCATATATCCAACCACCTCCAGATATTCTATACTTAAATGGTTTAGTGGCAACTTAACAGATACAAAAGACAAATCATGATCTCTGTTCACCCCACCCACCCACATGTGACTTCCAGGGCTCTAAGTTCAGAGAGTAGCACCACCTGCCATGAGTTCAACTTCCCAAGCCAAAATTCAAAACCTTGATGTCTCCCTTCTCCTTCCCCATCTGTCCAACCTCATCCCTTCATTATGAGGTTGCACTTATTGAGCGCCCCGGCACTGTGCAGGAGCTGGGGGTGAACAGGTGAATAAGACAGGCTCTTTGGGAGGTTAGGTGCGGTGGGGGAGACAGGCAATCATAGTGAAAAGAAATGGGTTGAGGACAGCTTGGAATAGATTTTGAGAGAAACAAGCAGGATCCTATGATAGGAGCAAGGGAGTTACTTCTGAGAGGGGGCAGGGAGGGCTTCTCCAAGGAAGTGGCATTTATGCTAGATGTGAATATCGAGAAGGAGCCTGCTGTCATGAGTTGAAAGATGGGCATTCCAAGAAGAGCGACAGCAAACACAAAGCTGAGAAGTGGGAGAGAAAAGAGTGTCCCAGAGCTGGGCATATGCCTATAATGCCAGCAACGAGAGATCATCCCTTAAGCCCAGGAGTTTGAGGCCAGCCTGGATAACATAGTAATACTTTATCTCAAAAAGAAAAAAAAAGAAAGGAAGAAAAGGAAAGAAATGAGTGTGTCCCAGGAACTGTCAGATGGCCAGTGCAACCATGCTCTGAGAGACACAGACTTGCTTGTTTTCTTACTGCCTCCTAAACTGTGTGGTCCCGTTTCACTGAAACAGAAGCTCAAAGAAAGGTGAAATTCACACAGGCAAGCACAGCCTTAGGAGGGTTATGAAGCTCATGAGACATAAGCAGACTCTCACTGGAGGAAGGGGCTGGAAACAGTGGGATGAAAGGAGGCATTCCCAACAGGACGAGTGGCACAAGCCAGGCCCAGAAAGAAATGACTATGATAGCGGAGGGAGATTAAGTGGCACTGATTTGGGGAAACCTTCAAAAAGAAAAAAAGGCCGAGATGTTTGAGCCAGTTGCAAAGTTAAGATAGAGCCATTCTTGGGTCTGAAAAAGGACATGAGAGAAGCAATGACTTAAGAACATCCCTCAGACACACATGAGGACACGGGATGGGAGGGGAAGCCTGGGGTAGTGACATCACTTAGGAGTCTGCTGGGATTATATAGGAGTGTCTCAATAAGCTACCTCCTGTACTACTGAATTGGCGGTGGTGATAGAAAGAAAAGGAAGACTCATTAAAATGTATTTTTTTTTCTTTTTTTTTCTCCTTTTGTAAAGATAGAGTGTCCCCATCTTGCCCAAGCTGGTCTTGTACTCCTGGCCTCAAGCAGTCCTCCCACCTGGGCTCTCAAAGCTCTGGGATTATAGGTGTGAGCCACCACCCCCAGCCTGGCTAAATGACTTTTTAAAAATTCCTTTAAGTCCAACAGGAGGAGTTCGGTTAAGTAAATTATGGCACATTCATATAACAGAAGAGTTTGCAGCTATTTTAAATGATGCCACAGAAAGACAGTTAATGACACGGGCAGATGTTCAAGGCAGAACACAGCATGTATGACATTTCTTGCTTAAGGAGAATCTGAGCTTTTAACAAGATCTTTTTTTTCCTGAAGAGATAGTATTTATTAAAAATCTTTAATCTTCAGTGCACATTTAAGGAGACAAAGAAGAACTGCCTCATTCCT